AACCTAAAGACAAACAATTTCATTAGTAAAAATGCAAACAAAAAGTCATTACCTACAGTGTTCTTATAATCAAGATCTAATCTCCAATTGGATTTGGGGTAGGAGGAAGGGAATTAACTAAGCTAATGGTTGATTGCAGTTCTCCTTAGAAACTCCCCACTATGATTTGCTCCTTTAAAACTCTCTTTAGGTTAATCACAGAAGTAGACAAGTAATAAATATCACTTTAGTGACTGCTCAAGTAAAACAAAGGAAGTCAGTTTTAAAAATATATCTGGACCAGAATAATACACACTAATTGAAAACGAGTCAGTCTAGTGAGGCAAGTAATGAGGAATTGTAAAAGCCAGGATAATGTATTCAAAAGATATAAAAATTGGTCAGTTTATATTTGCTAAGGCACATTTGAGCTTTAATTATTTATAACACTTCACCGCATATGGAGCATTGTTTTGTTAATTAGTCTTGAGAGCCATTCAGTTGCAGTTATTTTGCTGCCCAGCTGGTTTGGGGAACATAGATCCACTCCCATGGGTGTGACAATTGCTTTGAGGAGTGAGACTGCAGTCGCCAACTACCTGTGTGGACTATCTTGGAATTTTACCTACAGGAAAACCATATACCTCTCTATCAAAGCAATTGAGACTGACTACATAGTTTCCCTTATAAGAAAAGAGTACAAGACATATGATAATTTGATACAAAATATTATCATTAATCTGAAATTATATACAAAGAGAATATAAATTGCCTGTTTTATAAACATCCTGATTAATAGAAAATGAAAGTGAAAATGAGCAATATTTGATTATAGTTTCACCTTTTGACATTTTAATGTGATTTGTATTCCCATAAAAAGCAACGACCAAAGACATTAATAATTTACAACAGGTAGTAAGCAGATGATTAAAAAAAATGATACTCCAAATACATAGGGAATAAGTTTATGATTACAAGTGACCCATCTTGATACCAAGCATTCTATATGAACAACAATGGAATCAAGAAACCTATAAAGAGTAAGAAAATTTATAACCCTGGAAATATGGCAAAGTAAAACAAAAGTCTACAAATATGAAATCTGTCAACTATTAGATCTTGATGGAGGTTTGTACTCATTGTGTTTCCTTTCTCTCTTCCTAATTGAATTCAGAAGATCCAACAGACGGACTCACTTTCAAGGATTTTCCTTTGTTCTTTTGTCTACAGGCAACAAGAACATCACTAACTAGACAGCCCTTCCATTGCAACTATGAAAGGGCTACCACATAAACGTGACAAAATTCTGAGTAAAACAGAGTGCTAAATTGTTCTCTCACCAACACCCAGAAGTGATGATGTTCTTTGAGGAACGAGAGAGTGTCTTGTGTCAAGGATTTTTGTCAAAGATACCAAGAGAAGCTTGAGAAAGCATTGGGCCAGACTACAAGTAAAAACATTGTGTACCAAAGTAGCTCTATACAATTTATAAAAGGATGGTTAGTTGGGAATAAAGAAAAAAGTCCTGCAAGAAAGGAAGTAACATTACTCTCTATTCTTTCTTTCCCTGCCCTTGGTCTCAGTAGACTAGAGAAGAATGAAAAAGTTTAATATTATTTGATTGGTTGTTTTTTTACCCTTCCTCCCTCCCTGCTTGCCTTTCTTTCTTGATTCCTTTATTCCTTTATGTATTCAGTGTCTACCATGTACTAAGCATTTTATAAGGTAGCACTGGGTATAAAAATGACACTTCCCTTCCCCCTCCCAATAAAGCTTCTTGGAGCATATGGTTTAGTGGAGTGATTGACATTAATCAAATAGTTACACATATACATAATGATAAAGAATGGTAAGTGACAGAAGTAAAAGTAGATGGTGATATGAGAATGTATAAAAGGGAGATATGGTTAAATGTGGGCATCAGGGAAAAGCTTATACAATGTCTGAGCCAAGATGTAAAGGATTATTAGATAATAACCAGGACATTATGAAGGGGTGGGTGTGGGTAGAAAGGGTTTCAGACAGAGGACAAGCCCCGCCAGAAAGGAATATGGAGAGTTGGAAAAACAAAACAAAACAAAACAAAGCAGTATGGGTAGTGTCCAAATAGCAGGGGAAGAGTAGTAAGAAAAGAGAAAATTGAGGTCAGAACAGCCAAACAGGGCCTTTTGGCTCTTGCTGAGGATTTGGGTCTTTTTTCAAGAGCATTGAGAAGCCACTAAAGAGTGTCGAGATGAGGACCGACAAAATTCATTTTATGTTTTTAGACAGATTACTTTGACTGAAATGTAGAAATTACAGTGTAGGGTGGTAAGAGCAGGTGCAGAAAGCTTAGGAGAAACGGCCTCTTGTAACTATGATGATGACAGCAGTAGACAGAGTCAAACAATATTTTGGAGGTAAATTGACCCAGTGAAGCACTGGCAGTGGAAGGCTGGAGGTTGGTCTTCCAGTTCGCTATGTTGTTGTCTGTGTAGGAGAAAATGTTTAATATTTAGTGAGAATCTCCAAGTGTTGGGATTTTGTAGATTATAGCAACAAAAAGATAAAGGAGCAAAAAAATTTTGGGTTCCGAATAGAGTTATTAAAATGTTTCATGGTTGAATCTAACTTGTACTTGGAAGGAGGTAAAGATGGAAGAATGACAGAACTAACGTAGAAAACACAGAGTTATCAATGAGCTGGAAGTCCTATTAAATCCAAGAAAGGTAATAGGTAGGTATCTGAGCAAGCACAGTAGCCAAGTAGGGATTAATTAACTTCATTCTGGTGATTGTTACCCATAACTGTAGCATAACCATCTCCCCAAATGACATTACTTGTCATGAGATTCCTGAGTAAGAATTGAGAATAAGTACAAACATTTACCATCAAAGCAAGCAACCAAAACCAATAAGCAGGGATAGTGAAACAGTATTTATAACAAAATTCTGGTTATAAGGAATCATGACAATTATTTGGACTAATTGCCTCATCTTACATAGCTGAAGAACAAAGTAGCAACCACAATGTAACTTATGGAGGAAGATGACTACATTCTCAGTCTCATGACTGCTAATGTAGTTGCCCAGTGATTCATTTTCTTTGGTTTCTGGAGCTAGAACAAAGTTCATCTTTTGTAGCAATTCTGCCTCATTTAATGCATTCTATTTAAAATGCTCATCCTTCTCAAAGAATGCTCTTCTACACAGACACCAGAGTATTTTGACTGTTTATCCAAAGTTAGAACATTTAAAAAATACAGCACCATTAAATTTCACCCTACCACAAAAGCCGTTTAATATTCTGAATCATATGAAGGGGAATGGCTAAAGGAGAAACTGGCAGTTTCCTTGGCATTTTTAACAAAGTCCCTGGGTCTCCCCTCATACTCTCTTCCCTTCTAATCTCCTGTATCCTCTTCTCCAGAACAATATAAACTCTTGACCTTTCATCAAAATACCACTTTGACTGTGTCTCCACAGAGATCTTTCCTTTAAGTGCTGAACAAACAAAAGCAGTAACATTTTATCAAGTTTTTATTATTTGCTGGTAATTTATATGGTTTGCTGCTCATTTCTTTTCATGTACCTTTTATTTTCATTCCAAAAACACTTATTAGTATCCACTGTACACCAGACACTTTGCTAGGCTCTAGGGTCTTAGAGGGGAGCAGGACCAAATTGCTGCCTTTCTCACTCAGAGCCTGGTAGAGAAGATAGAAATGTAACTCAAAACAAAACAAAAAAGAAACAATCAGTCACTGTTGGAAGATGCCAGCTATCAACTTGTTATTCTGAAAATGTGTAAGGTAGAAACATTCATCTTGCCCATCCTTTATGAACAGTATCCTGGGTACCCAAACAGTGGATGAATACACAACATTTTTTTCATAGACCCACTCCAGTGAATAAATGAAGAAGGAATGATAGAGACAGGAAATTATCACATTGCAACTCCTAGCCACTGATCATTAACAGCTGCTAAAAGTCACACACACAAAAGAGAAAACAAGGCATTATATGCCTTCTAAAGATGTAAGAATATACTAACAGCCATGAGGCAGTCTTGCCAAAAAAAGCCAAAGCCAAGTATGATCAAACCTATAAGAACTACACTGTTTAACAGGTAGACACTAGCCACATTTGGCTACTGAACACTTGGAATGTAGCTCCGCTGAATTGAGATGGGCTGTAAATGTACATTTTTATATTGATTGTATGTTGAAAGGACAATAACAATTGTATTACAGTTCTGTAAGACGTAACCATTAGAGGAAACTGGGTGAAATGTACAGGGAAACTCTGTACTATTTTTGTAACTTACTGTGAATCTACAATTATTTCAAAATAAAAAGTAATCCAAAAGGGGGATTTAAAAGACAAGTTAATCAAATGTAATGTGTGGACCTTATTTCAATTCTTATTTAAACCCAAACCAGAAAATGTTAAAAAATGTATGACATATGTGAGAGAAATGGAAATTTGAATACTCTCTGGATATTTGATATGATGAAATTATTGATATTTTAAAGGATTATAGTAGCACTATGGTTACTTTAAAAGAGTGAATATTTTTTAACATTTTGAAATATTTATAAATAAAATAAAACATGCCTGAGATCTGCTTCAAAATAATGGCGGAAAGGGTAGAGCTATAGAAGAAATAAGCCTGGCCACGAATTGATGATTGTTGATGTCTTGATGGGTACATGGGTGTTTATTATAGCATTATGTCTACTTTTGTATATGTTTAATATTTTCCATAGTGAAAAGTTTTTTAAAAACAGCCAAAAGAGATAGGCGATTTTTAAAAGGGTACTATTAACGTAGATGCCTTTGACATTTCAAATATAATGGCTTGGATTATTTATAATCGACTTTTGGATGAGAAGAGTAAAAAAAATTTCTATTCAACTTCATTTTAAACAAAACTAATTTTTTTGGTTTTTTTTAGTTACCATTTTGGTGAGACAAAACTAATGTTAAAATAGTCACTGAGTGCTTACTATGTGCAAGACACTAGGCTTAAAAATGTCCTACCCTGTGTACATCATTCTGCTTCTGAACTGCTGGAAAATCTCCTCCAATAGGTGCCTGCCGGCTTAATTCATCATCTTTCAGCTGTAGCCACACTAGAAGCTCCTGAAGAGAAAGGTGCAGACGCTTCCACTGGTCAGAACTGGCTTCCAAATGGGACCTGAAAAATAACCGGAACAAACTGTATCAGAATATCTGGAAGTATAATTGTTGATTCCAACAATTCCATTAAAGGTACATTGGTTGGTTAGTTTCATAGCGTATAAACCTATTGTGAATTACCTAGCACTCTTCAATAAAAATCTGGCTACCTTCCTTTGAGAGGCATAAAATGGGGGGGTATTTTGATGGCAATTTTGAGGAAAGGCAGCCTTTAGCCATATGTTTATTTCCACATGAAGAATTCTGAGACTTTTGGCATGACATACATACTGGAATCGATTGCTTTCCCATACGGTTGCAGTCAATGATTCTTAATGTTTCTGGTAGAAAAAAATTGGACTGAGTGACTAGTAAAAAACACTCAGTTTTCATGTGACTCATGCTAGTACTGGAATTCTTTCTGCTTTGAGAAATGCAAAGGTCTCTCCCCACATTTTGACTTTTCCATTTCTACACCCTAGGCAGCCTTTTCCATTGACTCCTTCCGTCTGGTGTCTGTTCCTTTCTGCTCTTCTTCCCATATGCTTCTCCTTTTTCTCTACCCTTCTTTATTCTTGTGCACCTGGGATTTGTTTTCACCAAGTTCCAACATTATCCACTTTGTTTCCTCTGTGTAAAACGTACTAAGACAACAACTCACATGGAAGAGTAAAATCAGACATTTGTCTGAAAGCTTCCCCCAAACATGAATAATTTAATCAGGAGACTGAGTGCTTTACCATCAGCTGTATTTAGAACATGTTAATCCTTAGAAGCTATTTAAGAATATACAAATGAATGACCTATGCTATAAAATCCACATTTTACTTGAGGACGAGCAGCTAAATTAATAAAATAGCAGCTAAATTAATAAAATAAATCATCATCCAGAAAACAAAGAGGAAAGGCGGAATATTAGCAAAACTTTATTTTCAGGTAAGTTAGGAATTATGCTGCATCACTCACACATTATCACTAATTATTAATTAGTTCTGCTTATAACAAAAATATAATACAGTCTGTATTGCTGCAAAGATTGAAATATAAAGCAAAACAACCAGGTAGAGCAACATTTCCCTTGGACATTTGGTAACTTAGCCTGACATTTCAAATACAATTTTCCTTCTGGCTTTAGTCAAACAAAATCACCAAAGAATACTTATCTCTTGAAATTAAATTATTCCAAACTTTCTGAAGGATAATTTGATGATACATGGAAGTCTTTAAAATGTGCAAATGCAATGACCCACAAGCTTAAATTTAAGGAATTTATACAAAGAATATAACTAGAAAAGCATACAAAGATATAGGTAGAAAAATGTTATTTAGAGCATCTTTTGTGATTGATACAGAGTGGAAACAAATTAAATATTCAATACTAGGAAATTGCTTGAGAAATGCAAAAATCCAAGCTTCTAATTGTTTTCAAATGCAACGAAACTTATATATGTTTTACACTTCAAAAATTACTGAAGTATATATGACTTTAATTAAACACCTTCAATTTAAAAAATACTAGGGAATTGATGACATATATAATGGTGAATTCATACAATGAAATCCTATGTAATGTTCAATATGATGACATGGGAAAATATTTATGGATATGGAAAAAGTGATCATGTCAGTTGTTAAGTAAAAAAGATTACAGAAATAAATATAATCTATCTTTTTGATTTTTCTAAAATGTGTTATATGTATGTGTGTGTATATGCTTGTCTATGTATGAAAAAATTCTGGAATGACAACCAGGTTATCCCTCAGAGGTAGATTTACAGGTCATTTATCCCTTCAGCTTTATACTTCTCTAAATTGTCAAAAAAAAAATTCTATCGTGCACAATATAAACAGTATATTCAAAGAAATGAATGCATTTCCATCAAATAAGATAAATTAAATTGTTCAAGACTCCAAGGATATTATTATCTAATAAATGAATCATGAAATACCACAAATGTCATGAATTAAATATAATAGTGCATTCAGATTGCATACAGTGTAGAGGTCAGTTCATTTATATTTCTGTTCCCTCCTTCTCTTTCAGTTATCACTTTTCTATGATAAGCCTAAGTGAGAAGTCCCCATGCAAGATTTTAGCTGTTTAATGGCATGTAATGAGTACTGGTTACAGGAATTCCCTGGAGTGTCTGGAATTCACAGCTTGGTCCCCTTGAGGGTGAAAGAGGCTGTCAAGTAGGACATCTTGAAAGGTAGGCAGGGGAAAGGCAGAGTCCAGACATGGTAAAGCAGCAAATGGCAGAAAAGACACTGATTAAGTAAATATTTATCAAGTGCTTCTAAGTCTCAAGGAGGCATTGGGGAATAGGGAGAGAGGGAAGGGAAGGGAGAATATAAAGATGCCTAGTGCTTGGTCTCCCTCTATCTGATAGAGGAAACAAAATTTCACAGTAGTGGAGAGGTTTACAGGAGGATATGGTGAAGAGCAGGCTGCCTATGGTGAGACCTCAAGCTGCCACTTTGTACGTATAAGGAAGTGTTACAACCCCAGTTCTGGGTTAAATGGTGCCGCCTAATTATTACTGGGTCAATGAACCCCTTTGTGTCCCCTAAGAGAGAAAAAATAGCTGTGAGACTTAGGGAATTCAGTTCTAAAGTATTCAAAAGAACTTAACAGCATGTGGTGGGGAGGCCGTTAGAAGTCAGCGACAAAGGACAGTCAAGAGAGTTAAGAGCAGCAGAAGAAGGACCTGGAACCATAAAAGATGAAACACTCTCGTGTATCAGAGTAAGGGGACTTTTCCTACGGTATGGAGTTAAGTAAAATTTAAGAATGTTTGATCATCTAACTATATACGAAATGGTTCTCCTTTTTTCTGCCTAAAGCATAAGAGTGAAAGGAAAGATGTGATATGAGGACAAAAACTTAAGCAAAAGGCTTATAAAGGACAGAGGACACTGGGTAAGGGCTGGAAAGGTGAAAGTGAGTTAGAGAATGGCTTCTAATTTAAAACAATGCGTATAAAGGTATTCATTCTAAAGCTCCGGTTCTCAAACTTTAGTGTGCATAAAAAACATTCGAGTAGCTTATTTCAAATCCAGATTGCTAGGACACACCTCCACAATTTCTGTACTTAGGAAAATAACTGCTGCTACTAGAAAATAACAAAAAATCTCCATTCTATTGGGAATAATGAATTTTTTATTCTTTTGCTTGTGAGAAGTGGAGAAATGACCTCCATAATATACTTTCTCTGCCTGACTTACACAAAGCCCAAATT